GTGCCTGGAGTAGTTTTAGGGGGAGTTTTTTAATTATTTGGTAAGAAGTTAGGTCTAATCCTGGGGCTGTGCCCTTTTTCCTGTTTTGGATTACGTAGAGGAGCTCCTCCATTGTGTAGGGTTGATTTATTTCTAGATTGTTATTGTTTGGTTCTTTTGTGGGTTTGTTTTCTGTTTTAAGTTTATCTTGGAATTTTTTACTGAAGTTGGTGTTACTGCTAACGGCCGAAAAGTGGTTGGCGAGATTATTTGCTTTTTGGGCGGGGTTGGTTGAGTTGTCAATGTTAGGGTTTTTTTTATGTCGTTTTAAGCCTCTGATGGCGTGGATTTTGCGCCAGACCGTTCTGGCATCTGTACGGTTATTTATACCTTCGCAGAATTTTTTCCAGTCTCTACTTTTGGCTATTTGGACTAGTTTTTGAACCTGGTGGTTTAGTTCGTGGGCTATGTTTAAATATTTGTAGTCGCGTTTTGCTTTATTGAAGGCTGATTTACGTTTTCGTCTAGTCTGTTCTATTTCCTCATTCCACCATGGTACCGTCGGTTTGCCTGTCTTAGATGTTTTGAAGGGGATGGAGGTTTTGGCTGCGTTTATTATATAGTCTGTTAGGTTTTTACAATAGGTTTCTGGATCATTTTTTTCTATTTAGTTTAGGTTAGCTTCGTTGCAGATATCTTGGAATTGGTCCCAGTTAGCTTTATTGTAATGGAATTTTGGTTCTTGGTTTTCTGTTTGGATTGGTACGTTTGTATTTCCTATGGTTATGTTTATGGGGAAGTGGTCACTACCTAGCGGGACGTCGTGCACTTCCCATTGAGTACTTTGGGCTAGATCTGCGGTGCATATGGTTAGGTCGATAGCCGACATTTTTTGGTTTATCTTATCGTACCTCGTGGGTTGGTTGCTATTAAGGAGTACTAGGTCGTTTGTTTCTATCCATTCGGAGATTAATTTGCCATGATTATCTATTTTATCATCTATGCTCCATGTAGGATGGTGAGCGTTAAAGTCTCCTAGGAATATAGTAGATTTATCGCTTATTTGGAGTAGTTTGTTTAGATCCTCAGGTTGGACTTTTTGTTCCGCCCAGTGGTAAATATTTATGATGTTTATGTTTCGGTTATTTAATGTGATTTTAATGCCGTTGGCTTCTAGGTTTGGCGTGTCTATTTTTATTTCTTCGTAATTTATATCTTCCCTGATAAATATGATTAGTCCTCCTGCGGCTCTTCTTGTTTTCGGTTTAGCTCTGTCAGTTCTAACTGAGTTGTAGTTAGGTAGTGTGAATTTGGATTTTTTTGAGAATTTGGTTTCCTGTATACAAGCAATGTGAGGGCCTTTATTTAGTTTAAATTTAGTTTTTAGTTCATGGCCGTGGGAGGTGAGTCCGTTGGCGTTCCACTGAAAAATATTTAGTCCTTCGAATATTGGGTTCGGGTGATTGGTGATTTATTTTTTATTTTATTCGGTGAGTTCTTTTAGATGGAGGTTAAAGAGGAAGAAGGGAAGTACGGTTAATTTTAGATTGAAAGCTACTTTGTAGAAGGATTTCATGCTAGCTTTTGGTGAGTTTTGACTATGCATGTATGCTAGGAGTAAGGTGAGGTTGTTTAGGTTTTGGGTGTTGGCTGGTTGGGGAGTTTGGTTTGTTTTAGTTGGAGTAGTGTCTATTGTTTCCTCAGTAGTGGAGAAATCTTCGTCATCGGTTAGATTAGGTTTAGCTGATTGAGTTTCCATGGGGGAGGCATGTGATGTGGAGGATTGTGAAGGTGTTTGTGGGATGGGTGTAGCTGATGATTTCATAGTGTTTGTGTTTTGTTGTTGTGCTTGCTTGTGGGAGAGCGTTGTTACCATATTGGCTGTAGGGTGCTTGGATGAGGATCGTGTTGTGGTGGTCATTTTGAGGTTTGTTTTGCATGCGGGGGTTGATGTTTTGGCTATGTGAGATGTGGGAGGGTTCGTGGTTGGTTGAGTGGCTGCTTGTATGTGTGAGGTGGGTGCGGTTTCTCGGTAGGGGCCCCAGACAGAGCTGTCGGTTATGGGTGTGGTGTTTGGGTGTGGTTTGGGTGTGGTGTAGGGATGCATTTTATACACATAATGTACCTAAATGTTAGTGGTTGTAGTCTCGGTCCCAATAGCGTAACCGACTGGTTACTTACTTACTTACTTTGGAGATTTAACGTGCGCTTTCCGACTGATGCGTATTTCGCACACGGGCCCGGCCAGGCCATTTAATGTGTTTCCGAAAGGCTCCGACTGGGCTCAGACTCAACATGAAGCGCAGCGTGTTTAGCATAGATTGAGTGAACGATGTCATGGCGTTGTTTTGATACAATCGGTGTCACTCTCGGTGACATCACATCACTGATTGATTAGTTTGGGCGAAAAAATAATACCAATCTTATTAACGTTGTTGTTTCAAGTTGAGCGGATTACCTGAGAAAACTCAACAGAGTTCATGACGGGATTACTGTACTATGATAACAAATAGATGTCACTTTATCATTATATCTGCGTTGACCAATCAAAGGCGAACATTCTCCGAAACTCCGGGGGAAAAAAAAATACAAATGCAAGTTTACTGAACATTAGGTGTGGTATGGCACGACGGGCTACTACAAACACACAAAAATCCTAATACTTACCGACTCCCTAAGTGGACTGCAAGCCCTCCAAAACAAAAATACAAAAAACCTACCTAAATTAATAAATCAAATACTTAAAAGCTCCAACGACCTAACTAAGGCAGGCAAACAAATAACCTTCTTGTGGATACCCACCCACGTAGGAATATACGGTAATGAAAACGCCGATAAAGCAGCTAAACTATCCCTCAAAATCCCAGAAATAAGCTTAAACTTACCCATCTCAAAATCAGAAATTAAAAGTGTAAACAAGCAAAAAATCACCAAAAAATGGCATAACCTATATCTAAACTCAAATAGCCAAATCAAAAAAGTGTTCAGCAAACCACTAACCACACCAAAAATTCTCCATCCATCAAAAACAATTGACAGAGTAATCACTAAACTCCAAACAGAACACACCAACACAAATAACCACCTAAAAAAAATTTTAAAACACACTACAGGTAACTGCCCACACTGCAAACAACCATAAACCCCAGAACACGCACTCATCCACTGCACACACTACCTAACACATCGAACCGCATTACAAAAAACCCTCAATCTAAACAAGGCTCTAACTCTAGAAGCAATACTAAACCCACAAAATAAAATAGAAAACTTCAAGGCCTTAGGTGTATTCTTAAACAAAACGGAACTAATAAAACGCATCTAAAAACACTATAATCTACCAAATCAAAATCACATAAACAAACAAACATCCACCATACCCAGCTCCCTTAGTTCTACTCCCCAACCCCATCGGCATCTATTCCAAATCTCAAAATTCCCAAATTCTATATAAGCAACCCCTAAAGCCCCCTCTTGGGTTGCACACACCACTTTCGCCCCTTTCGGAAACACATTAAATGGCCTGGCCTGGCCAGTGTGCGAAATACGCATCAGTCGGAAAGCGCACGTTAAATCTCCAAAGTAAGTAAGTAAGTACATTAGGTGGTGCAACTGCAACGTACGTTGTGTTATCTTCAGGATATGAATTATGAATTAATTATTTGATGGATATAACTAACCCATGAGGTATGTAAAGACTTAAGTGATCTTTTAAATTATGTTTTTAGGATGTAAATATGACAGGAGACAAATTCTATGGATGATATGTTGGTGTTTTTTTTATTATTTTCATACTTGTGTATGAATATACTAGTAATTGTGATCATTAGGCCTACCCTAAGTTATATTTGCCACACGCATATTAAAATATTAAATATATTTCTTTAGGCGAGTCGGGTCAGATTTTTTTTAGGCGAGTCGGGTACAACTCGCTGGGAAGGAGCTTGAGTATGACACAAGGAATGGGAGGTAATCCTCACTGATGGTAGAGTTACATAATGTGCATACCACTAATGGCGTATATTATATACTTACCTCCCTTGCCAAGGCGAAAGAGAAAGTTGATATTTCCTACACGCTAGTCGATGAGACGAGGCTCACACAGCCCCTTCAGCATGTTCAACTGACGAAATGTGAGCGTTTTATATGTATGTGGTGCTTGTAACACGGTGTCATGACAAGGTTAGAATAAGATGGGTGTAAAACAGTGCCATGACTTGGTTAGAAGTGTCTTAGATTCTAAGAGTAGTTCGAACACGGATGTAAAGCAAAAACCGCAGATGGGGATGCTGTAACTGCTGCTACAGGCAAGTCCGTGACATTTCACGTTTAACAGACTGGTTGGAAAACACGGGAGCAGGACGTTCGTAATGCTAGGCCTACCATATTTTTTAAAGGGGCACTGATCTAACGCAATTCCCCGGACTGGCTGTTGCCTTTGTTATTGTTTTTCTCCCCGTGAGTACCCGGATGATACGCAACGCAACTGAGCGTGACCAGAGACTGGGCTACCGTCTGCAAGGACAGCTAAATAAACAGACTGGTTGGAAAACACGGGAGCAGGACGATCGTAATGCTTGGCTACCGTATTTTTTAAGTATAAACTATCAAGCCAGAGAAGATAAACCACTTCCTGATCTAGATCAATGCCTTGTATTTTCAACCAGGTTAGACGTGTTATAACCAAGTTCTAACCTCATCTGTATTACCTGAAATCTGTATTACAACTGCGTTCTAACTTTGTATTATTCTTTCACTTATAAAGAGTATTAGCATTGGAGGATAGCCTACAATTGACTTATCCCACGTTGACCTTGGGAATCAGTGGTCAAGGGCATGAGAAAATCTCACTGAAACAATTGTGGTTGCACTTTCTCAAAAAGTACCAATGCAGTTATCATTAAAATTCTAGATATATATATGCTTTAAAGTGCAAAGTTCATACCTTTGGGGAATTTGGTGTTGCTTGATCAATGTCCCAAGTCATATTATCAATGGTAGTAACTATGGTTTTCTTTCAGAACAGTGAGAAATGGAAGGAAATCCGGACTCGCGTGGCTATCAGATGACCGGACGCCTCACAGAGGAAGCAGCTGAATTACTGAGGAGGACTGAACAAGGGAGACAACCTACTGCCACAACTGCAATACAGCACAACTACAGTGAGTATTTCAAACCTGTACAGTCCTGTATACAGCTAGAAAAGAAGGAGTAAGATGGATATCAGAAGTTTATCATCCAAAACTGGCTCCCACAGGAGATATCGCTTGGATGAGATCAAGCGATATCTACACTGTAGATATCCCTGCAATGAAGTTACATCACGATGCTTTGCAGACCATTGTAATGTCACGGGTTACCATGACGTCACAATCAAATGACATCACTAATGGCTCTGCTACTGAAGCTGTTTGCAGTACTTTTTACACTGAAGACACTGCTAATTACTGTCTACAAATTGAAAAAATTGAAAGAATGATGTTGAATGATCAATAAAATCTCACCCGCGTGTCTTTGGATATCAAATATATCAGTGGCCAAAATCCTCGGCAAGCCTCAGAATTTTTCCAGTTTCATCAACTCGTGTTGATATATTTGATATCAAAAGACTCTCTGAGACGGGTGAGATTCTCTATCTAACACACAAAAATTGAGTTACAATTAGAGAATCTGTTGTGGTATTTTTGTTTCAGGCCAAACCAGGTATAAACTTTTATCTTGTTAGCACATAATTTGTCTGATATCCCACAAATTACAGGAAGTCATATGCATGACATGTGGAATGATATATTTAAAACATAAAAAGACCTGGACCCGTGGTTAGTCACCCGTGGTTTAATGACAAAAATTATCTAGAACTCTATGGTTACACTACGTGACTAAGTACCATTCTGACCTTAATAGGTTTGAATAAAAATAAAACTTCAGTCAACTTCAGTGTATGTATGCATGACCAGATCGTTTTATACGAGTATCTAAATACATTTTACCAGGGCTACGGTCAAACTAGTCCCAATTGGACATTTTGTACCCATCTCTTGAGACCTGTAGCCGGTACCCATGTAGGGTCGGGTAATGGCGGGTGGGGTACCCGGGTAGGGTCGGGTAATGGCAGGTGGGGTACCCGGGTAGGGACGGGTAATGGCAGGTGGGGTACCCGGGTAGGGACGGGTAATGGCAGGTGGGGTACCCATGTAGGGTCGGGTAATGGCAGGTGGGGTACCCGGGTAGGGACGGGTAATGGCAGGTGGGGTACCCGGGTAGGGTCGGGTAATGGCAGGTGGGGTACCCGGGTAGGGACGGGTAATGGCAGGTGGGGTACCCGGGTAGGGACGGGTAATGGCAGGTGGGGTACCCGGGTAGGGACGGGTAATGGCAGGTGGGGTATCCGGGTAGGGTCGGGTAATGGCAGGTGGGGTACCCGGGTAGGGACGGATAATGGTAGGTAGGGTACCCATGTAGGGATGGGTAATGGCAGGTGGGGTACCCATGTAGGGACGGGTAATTGCAGGTGGGGTACCAGGGTAGGGTCGGTAATGGCGGGTGGGGTACCCATGTAGGGTCGGGTAATGGCAGGTGGGGTACCTGGGTAGGGACGGGTAATGGCAGGTGGGGTACCCAGGTAGGGTCGGGTAATGGCAGGCGGGGTACCCATGTAGGGTCGGGTAATGGCAGGTGGGGTACCCATGTAAGGACTGGTAATGGCAGGTGGAGTACCTGGGTAGGGACGGGTTATGGCGGGTGGGGTACCCAGGTAGGGTCGGGTAATGGCGGGTGGGGTACCCATGTAGGGTCTGGTAATGGCAGGTGGGGTATCCGGGTAGAGTCGGGTAATGGCGGATAGGTTACCCGGGTAGGGTCGGGTAATGGCAGGTGGGTAGGGACGGGTAATGTCAGGTGGGGTACCCGGGTAGGGACGGGTAATGGCGGGTGGGGTACCCGGGTAGGGACGGGTAATGGCAGGAGGGGTACCCGGGTAGGGTTGGGTAATGGCGGGTGGGGTACCCATGTAGGGTCGGGTAATGGCAGGTGGGGTACCCATGTAGGGTCGGGTAATGGCAGGTGGGGTACCAGGGTAGGGTCGGGTTATGGCGGGTGGGGTACCCATGTAGGGTCGGGTAATGGCAGGTGGGGTACCCGGGTAGTAAATTTGGACTCGTCCCAGCCCTACCTTTCTAAAAATTTCCATGTAAGTTTTTTACTCCCAATGATATTATATTTGTAAGGCTTATATGAATAGGAAGTAATTGCTTTTTCAATTTATTCAATATGTCCTCAGCTCATCTCACTGAGTGTCGTGGGGTGTTGTCCTTCAACAGGTTGTCCATCTTAACTTTACATCTTAGACGCCTTCTCTGAAACAACAACAGAATTCTGATCTGATTTTATACACTGTGATGACCATATTGTCATTTTTGCCATTTCTGCATGTGGGGGCGAGGGTGGCCCAGTCGTCTAAGGCACCGTGATTCGCTGTGCAGAGTTGCGTCCTTTAGGCACGCCAGAAAAATATGATTGTGGATTTGAATCCCGGTTCTCCCGGATTATGTTTCTAGGTTTGTCAGCACCATACCCGTGCTCGTGGGTTTCACCGAAGTGGTAAACGGCTGAGACCTGCATCGCTTCGGGCTTTCCTCCCTCATTACGCTGACACACCGCGATATAACTGGAATACTGTTAAAGAGGCATTAAACCCAACTCACTCACTTACTCATTTCTGCATGTATCAAACTGAAAATGTGATATGTTGTAAGCCAAATAACATATGCTGTGTTTTGAAACATAATGTGATTTTTTATCAAGTTATTATTACCTTTGACCTCTGTATTCCTCTCTAACAGCATTTTTCACTTTGCTGAAATGTGGCGATGAAGGAATGGAATGTGGAGCTGAAAATGTGCATAATCATTTTAATGTCTCGAAAAGATGCTCACAGAATTCTGGATTTCCCACTCCATTTGATGATCACGTGATAAAACCGTCAAACTCACAGTTGAGATACCTAGATATGTATATGTACCGACACTACCATATATGGTAACATCTTGATAAGAATAAGCTGGTTTGTGACAGAATGGAAGTCAAGGGATGTGTAGACAGGATGCAATGTTTCTTGCAGGATTGGCAGCATGATTAGCAACAGTTAGAATCATGAGACATCTCGTGGTACTGAAGATGGACTATTCTGATCTGATTTATAACATGGTCGCTATGGTGATAAAGTCATTTTTACTACTTTTGCAGCCATTTATCAATGCTTTCTTCTGAAATTTGATGTGTTGCAAGTATATAGTACCGGTATATTATATGCACAACAACATACAATGTTGGGGGGCATTTTGAGAATATTTTCTATCAAGGTACAATCTTTGACCTTCAGATATCACTGTTTTCACTGTTACTATGTTTTTTGGGGGGGCACGGGTGGCCCAATCGTCTAAGGCGCCGCGATTCGCTGTGCAGAGTTGCGTCCCTTGGGCGCGCCAGAAACCTATGATTGTGGGTTCGAATCCCGGTTCACCCCAATTATGTTTCAAGGTTTGTCAGCACCATACCCGTGCTCGTGGGTTTCACCGAAGTGGTAAACGTCTGAGACCTGCATCACTTCGGACTTTCCTCCCACATTAAGCTTGACACGCCGCGATATAACTGGAATACCGTTAAAAGCGGCGTTAAACCCAACCCACACACTCACTCACTACTATGTTTTCGACATCTCCTCTGAAACTACGACTGTGATGGTGAAACGGCAATTGAAGGATCCAAAGTGAATAGTAGAGACAGATAATTCTCTTGCATTGATGTTTTTTTAAATATATTTTTGACAAAGATTAATTTTGTGCCAAATTTCAAAGTATGTCAAAGTATATTTATATATTTTCAGGAGAGATTTCTCATGATTGTGGAAGGGTTTTGTTGCTTGTATTTATCTGACGATAATGAGACCAGAGTTTTACTCTGTTGCAGGTGGTCCAGTGTCTCAGGTGGACTTGACCAATGCTACCAATGTCTCCATCTCCGTCGGGGAAGAAGGAGCTAGAGGATGTCTGTCACAAGGTGAGATGTCACCTGGCATGCACATGCTGATAAATTGATGTAGAGGACAACTATTATTATAAGAATTAATAGAGGATAATTTAGCATGATTCAAACATGGTACAGGACCAGGCAATTGTTATTTGGGAGAGGGCTTGTAAATGTATTAAACAAACTGTCCCAAGAATGATATGGGAAACTTGTATGAATAATCCTAGCTATGTTATCTCTAAAATATGCTCATATGATTTCAATCTGATTTTATGAAACATGGCTCCCGCTGTGGCTATCTTGAAAATGTCCTTGGCGTAATTTCAGCATTTCTGCTTGTATCATTACAGGGATGTGAAATCTCCGCGGAAACGCGGAAAATCGCGTTTTTTAAAACTGTAGTCCTCGGAAAAAATCATCTTCCGCGTAAAAATTTAATTAAAAAATTAAAAAAAACACTCTGAAAAATATGATCGAAAACCGGACATTTGGCTCGGATTGTCCTGTTTTCGATCAGGGCTTTCACCAGCATAGGTTTTCGGAACTCATACGTTTTCTGTCACGAATACTTGCACTATAACGTGGGGTGTGGCGTCACACAGAAATTGTAAATACTCAGAGTCAGCTGATGGCTTGTTTTTAAGATAAAGTTGTCTTTTAGCCTGTAAGTGAATGAGATGTTTTACAGTTGTTCATGTGATAAGCGAAAGAACTATGAATGTTTCTTCAGCGCCCAAAACCCCGTCATGGGGATATATGTTGTATTAATGTCTTATGTTTGCAATGGAGTTTTGTTTTTTCCATCAAAAGGTAAGTACAAGGTCAGTTTTTTTCAATATGCTTCAACATGGGGAAAGGGTCAGACATTGCACGCTTGTGACAGTTGTCCTTGTGTCTGGGGGATGGGGGTTGAAGTTTATGGCAGTATTGCTCCCAGACCTGGCGGGTAGCCAGGTGCGCGGAAGCTATGCCCGATTTTTTAAAAGTACTGATTTAACTTCGAAATTTTACTGCATCTGCCATCTTGTTTATTTGACTTATTGACTTTTGCCATTGACTTATTACATTTCTTGGTGTGAATGTTGTCCAAACTGCACGAAATTGCTTAAAATGCAATCAAATGTTTTAAAAATTTCTGGGGGGACCCCCCTAGACTTTTCCTCTTTTTTCGGGAAAACCTGCTCACATCCCTGATCATTATGAAAGTTGATATGCACAAGTATGCGTCTTTTGGAGTTACATACATTTTTATGACCTTTGCCTTTTAAATACCCATTTTTCAAGTATTACTGTATTTTATACATCCCGGAAACGACAATACCTATGAACTGAAACTTTGCCAGCCGATCCCACTGAACTGAATTTTTCAATACGACCGTCAATCGTAGTCATAATAGGTTACATCATTATCATGAAAATATTGTCATGAAAATGAGTGAGTGAGTGAGTGAGTTGAGTTTAACGCCGCTTTTAACAGTATTCCAGTTATATCGCGCCGTGTCAGCTTAATGTGGGAGGAAAGCCCGTAGTGATGCAGGTCTCAGCCGTTTACCACTTCGGTGAAACCCACGAGCACGGGTATGGTGCTGACAAACCTAGAAACATAATCGGGGCGAACCGGGATTCGAACCAACAATCATATTTTTCTGGCGTGCCCAAGGGAAGCAACTCTGCACAGCTAATCGCGGCGCCTTAGACGACTGGGCCACCCGTGCCCCTGTCATGAAAGTGAAGACGCTCTCATGGGCAATAAAAATGAAAAGAAGGCGCAAAACTGGAAACCATATCTTAGATCCCACCGCACTCCAGCATGCCATCATGTTTCATCAAATCATCTGCATCATTTGGGAGCACATGGGACCTGTGCTTGTTGGTTTCAGTGGTAAATGTCTGAGACCTGCCTCAATGTGGGGTTTCCGCCTACCCTAAGCCATGCTATATCTGGAATACTGTTCATGGAAAGCAAACTCAAAAAGGAAATGGTTCCAGCAACTTTGGGAGAAGCAGTCGATAGGGTGGCCCAGGCTAAGTTTCATGCACATTTTGATGTAGGAAATCAATAGTATAAGTTCAAGCAGGACCAAATTGTCCACGAATGGCAGACAAACGTTTGTGCCATTTACTTCAGCTGTTGAGGCAAGGGCTAAGTCCCACAGTACTTTAAAGATAGGTTACTTTCTATTGACGGAGGACTTAAAAGGGCACATGACCTTGTGACCCCTGATAACCCCAACTATGACCTTTGCAGTAGACAGAGCCTTGCCCTTTTAGAATGCTTTCAGAGATCTTCTCATCTGATACTGCTTGACTTCTTATGCTATAAGCAGTGTAAATTAATTGCATGTTTTTTGTATGAAGTATATTGAACAATTCAAATTTTATAATAAGTTTAAAGATCCTGACAATGGTCTAGTGGAAAAGTGTCCACCTGGAGAGTGGAAGGTCGGGGATTCAATCCCTGGCCTCACCATACCAAAAGATGCTAAAAGATGGTACTTGTTGCTCTTCTGGTGCTCGGCATTAAGGGGCTAAAACAAGGACTGGTCAGCTTGGAGTCAGTATACTATGTCTGAGTGGGATATTCATGTTAAACTGTGGCATGGTATCTCAGTGGGCTAGCACTATAAAATAGGCATTTGTCTGGACTAGAACAAGCAGCCACACACACACACGTGCATGCACATCCTTATGTAGGTGCAATAATCTTGAACGCGACATTAATCCCCATTTCAACTCGCATCACCTTAAAATCAGTGTGATGCACAGAATGTACTTGAACTATCCAGGGTCTACACAAAGGATAAGATGGCTGTCTCGAGGTGTAATATCCCAATGCATGCAGACATTTGTCATTGGCCGCATCTTCATGATGTTCGTATGCCACAAGCTTCAGCAGCTATTGGTCTGTTGATTGGGGACATGCATGCAGGACGATTGATTTGAGGACTGGACCAAGTAGAACTCCACATGCGACACCAACCAGGCTCGGATGGATAGTGTGGAAGACTGGCCAAGTGGAAGTCCACATGCCACACCAACCATACTTGGATGGATAGTGTGGAAGACTGGTCAAGTGGAAGTCTACATGCGACACCAACCAGACTTTGCCGGATAGTGTGGAAGACTGGCCAAGTGGAAGTCCACATGCGACACCAACCAGGCTCGGATGGAGAGTGTGGAAGACTGGTCAAGTGGAAGTCTACATGCGACACCAACCAGGCTTGGATGGATAGTGTGGAAGACTGGTCAAGTGGAAGTCCACATGCGACACCAACCAGGCTCGGATGGATAGTGTGGAAGACTGGTCAAGTGGAAGTCCACATGCGACACCAGCCAGGCTCGGATGTATAGTGTAGAAGACTGGTCAAGTGGAAGTCCACATGCGACACCAACCAGGCTCGGATGGATAGTGTGGAAGACTGGTCAAGTGGAAGTCTACATGCGACACCAACCAGGCTCGGATGGATAGTGTGGAAGACTGGTCAAGTGGAAGTCCACACGTGACACCAACCAGGCTTGGATGGACAGTGTGGAAGTCTGGTCAAGTGGAAGTCCACATGCGACACCAACCAGGCTTGGATGGATAGTGTGGAAGTCTACATGCGACACCAACCAGGCTTGGATGGATAGTGTGGAAGACTGGTCAAGTGGAAGTCTACATGCGACACCAACCAAGCTTGGATGGATAGTGTGGAAGACTGCTCAAGTGGAAGTCCACATGCGACACCAACCAGGCTCGGATGGATAGTGTGGAAGACTGGTCAAGTGGAAGTCCACACGTGACACCAACCAGGCTTGGATTGACAGTGTGGAAGTCTGGTCAAGTGGAAGTCCACATGCGACACCAACCAGGCTTGGATGGATAGTGTGGAAGACTGGTCAAGTGGAAGTCCACATGCCACACCAACCATGCTTGGATGGATAGTGTGGAAGACTGGTCAAGTGGAAGTCTACATGCGACACCAACCAGGCTTGGATGGATAGTGTGGAAGACTGGTCAAGTGGAAGTCCACATGCGACACCAGCCAGGCTTGGATGGATATTGTGGAAGACTGGTCAAGTGGAAGTCTACATGCGACACCAACCAAGCTTGGATGGATAGTGTGGAAGACTGGTCAAGTGGAAGTCCACATGCGACACCAACCAGGCTCGGATGGATAGTGTGGAAGACTGGTCAAGTGGAAAGTCCACATGTGACACCAACCAGGATTGGATGGATAGTGTGGAAGACTGGTCAAGTGGCAGTCCACATGCCACACCAACCAGGCTTGGATGGATATTGTGGAAGTCTACATGCGACACCAACCAAGCTTGGATGGATAGTGTGGAAGACTGGTCAAGTGGAAGTCCACATGCAACACCAACCAGGCTTGGATGGATAGTGTGGAAGACTGGTCAAGTGGAAGTCCACATGCGACACCAGCCAGGCTTGGATGGATATTGTGGAAGACTGGTCAAGTGGAAGTCTACATGCGACACCAACCAAGCTTGGATGGATAGTGTGGAAGACTGCTGAAGTGGAAGTCCACATGCGACACCAACCAGGCTTGGATGGATATTGTGGAAGACTGGTCAAGTGGAAAGTCCACATGTGACACCAACCAGGATTGGATGGATAGTGTGGAAGACTGGTCAAGTGGAAGTCTACATGCGACACCAACCAGGCTTGGATGGATAGTGTGGAAGACTGGTCAAGTGGCAGTCCACATGCCACACCAACCAGGATCAGATGTATAGTGTGGAAGACTGGTCAAGTGGAAGTCCACATGCGACACCAACCAGGTTGGGATGGATAGTGTGGAAGACTAAGACTGGTCAAGTGGAAGTCCACATCCGACACCAACCAGGCTTGGATGGATAGTGTGGAAGACTTGTCAAGTGGAGTTGGGCGACGAACCTTTCTGAACAGAACAGAAGTAGTAGCCATAGATGAACTGAACGAGCTGGAAGGACTTGTGAATCAATCAATCCATCTTCATTTCCCAGGAAGATCTATTGACAACAGGAAAGAGAATTCAGAGGAGGATAAGATATTCATTCAACACCTGAACAGTTCCATTTCATTTCAGCATAAAATTGCCATTCAAGAAAGCAGAGGTGAAGCTACCAGATAACCATACCCAAGTCCTAAAGAGACAAGAAAAAGTGAAAGTGAAACTGAAAAGAGATCCTAAGTTATTGGAAGAATATGAAGATTCCATGTCTGAACTTGTTGACTAGGGCAATGCTGAGAGCATACCTGCAGTCGAGGTGATGGGTACTGTTGGTCAGCATATGAAGGTACATCCCAAAACAGTCAGCTGCTGCAGAAACCAAGTAATCTCAAAGGCGTCCTTCTGTGATTCAGACAGGAACATACAGCCATAATGGCAGATAATGAAGCCATGTTCAACCAGGTGGAATTAGTGAAAGATGACTCTGATTTCTTCAGATACTATCTGTGGCTGGAGTGAGTGAGTGAGTGAGTGGGTTGGGTTTAACGCCGCTTTTAACAGTATTCCAGTTATATCACGGCGTGTCAGCTTAATGTGGGAGGAAAGCCGAATTGATGTAAGTCTTAGATGTTTACCACTTCAGTGAAACCCACGAGCACAGGAATGGTGCTGACACACCTAGAAACATAATTGGGGTGAACCGGGATTCGAACCCACAATCATAGGTTTCTGGCGTGCCCAAGGGACGCAATTCTGCACAGCGAATCGCGGCGCCTTAGACGACTTGGCCACCCGTGCCCCCTATCTGTGGCTGGAAGAAGATGTATATCTATACCAAACATTTTATGGAATGGTGGCACATTTGTATGGCTCAATATCATCACCAAGCTGCTCGAAAGCGGCAAATCATTATAAAAATGACTTTTCAGAGAAGGCAATAGTAGTGACAAGAAAGATATTTTGTGTGGACGATTGTTTAAAGTCTGGGCCTACAGATGAGGGCGACATCTTGTAAAGAATGTGGGTGAACCATGCCAGTAAGGTGGCTTCCATTTAACAAAATGGATCACCAACATTTACTCGGTCATTGCCACAATTTCAAAAGGAGAGCAATCAAAAGGTAGTGAAAAGTTTGAATCTTGAACAAGATGAACTTGCAACTGAAAGAATTGTAGGAGTCCTATGAGAGGTAGAACCTGACATGATTAGCTTCAAAATTCAGATGATGAATCAGCCTGGAACTGGAAGGGGAATTCTCCCTACAGTCACTTCAGTGCAGGACCACTTATGACTTGCTTCACCTGTTACATCGCACGCCAAATTCTCTTATAAGAATTGTGACAATTAAAGATGGACTGGGATGAAGAGGTCAGTGGAATTTCGTTACAGAAGCGAAATCTGGATCTTGAATCTTCCTAACCTGGAAAACATGAAAGAACCCAGATGTTAGAAACCAGCTGACTTTGGATCAGTCATTTCAAATGAATAGCATGTGTTTTGTGATGCCAGTGAACAAGGCTTTGGCATTGTTGTTACATTCGATTTCCGAAAAACAAAGGTGATGTTCATTGTGCTCTCATGTTTTTGATTGCCTGGCATCTGCGTCAATCGACAGTTCAACAGTTCAACAACATGCCAAGATTAACAGAAGTGCAAAGAAACAACGTCATAGGCTACTTGCAGGCAGAGGAATCCCGATTAGCTGTCGCCAGGGTTTTCAATGTAGCGCCCAGCACCATCACAATACTATGGGATCGGTTTTATCAGCATTGGTCAACACATGATCGGCCAAGGTCGGGACGACCAAGAGTAACCATCCCCGCCCAAGATTGCAACATCGACCACATCACCTATGTGAAAAGACGACCACAGCCACCTCAACTTCATCCCAAATACCCAGACTGCGCAGAATCTCTGACCAGACCGTATGAAATCGTTTAAGAGCAGCAGGTCTACAAGCAAGATGCCCTGTTCGACAGGTCATACTGAGTCGACCACATTGTCAACAATGACTGCATTGGTGTCCTCAACAAAGGTGTGGCCTCAACTGCGATGGATAGATGTCTGGTTCAGCGACGAATCAAGATTTCTCCTCCGTCGAGGTGATGAAAGAGCACGGGTCTACAGACATCGGCGAGAACCTTACGCCAGAAACTGCGTACAGGAAGTGGACAGGTTATAGATAGAGCACCTGTGGGATGAATTGGATAAACAGCTATGCTGACGTCCACCACAACCCCAGACGTTGCTGCAGTTGGCTTTTGCGTTGCAGGTTGAGTCGGCGACAATTCCCCAGGATGTGATTTGCATACTCGTCTTTTCCATGGGCAGGAGATGTCATGCCACTATCGATTCCAACATACACGTTATTGATGGTAGCTGACCTTCACCTTGGACTTTTCCTATGTACCAATAACTGAGATGACTACAATCACCAAATGTTCTCTCCACAACATTTTGGCTCAATACTTTGTAAGGTTCCTCGTATTAGTGTATTTTCCTACCTCACACAAATCTGTCTTTGCGTTTCTTTTTTTTAAGAGTATATCATTAGTATATTATTGGACAGATAGCATGGCAGTGATCAGTGATCAGATATCTCCAATGAGAAAACCTGCGTCCACACGTTTTTAGCAAACCATCTCTCTGTGATTCATGAAGCAACTGGCGTCAACCGAATTGAGATATGTAACCTAGGGCGGGGACGGGTAATTCGGGTACCCGGGTCAGGTGGGTACTAAGTAGGACCCGGGTACCCACAGGACTACTGGGACCCTTGGTTATTCACGTGATTATATTGTTTAATGGCAAAAACTCATCTAGAACTCTATGGTTTCACTACAAGTCACTAATGTTCGTATTTCTTTCTGACTATGCACCCATTCATTCTGAGTTTTCATATCTTTGAATAAAGATATAACTTGAGTCGAAATTCAGTGTATGCATGACCAGATTGTTTAATACATGTATCTAAATGCGTTTTGCCAGTGCTATGGTAAGAAAATGCCCAATCGGACATTTTGTACCTTTCTCTTGAGACCTACAGAGGGTACCTGGGTAGGTTCGGGTAATAGGGGGTTGGGTACCCGGGTAGCAAATTCCGACTCGTCCCAGCCCTATTGTAAACAGTAGCTGTAATCTTGTAGATGTGTCATCACCCAGAGAATAAAGGCTGTGATAGAAAGAGAGAAGAATTGACATTTATTGACTTTCATAAATACTGTCAGAGAAATATGACTTTGTTGTCATTATTCTTTTGCCAAGTTATAAACAGAGGATGGGGTCATTAAGAAAACTCATCACTTAATAACTTAAATTATTCATAAAAAAACTAACCATTTATTGGGAATTATGTCTTTTATGCAAAATAAGTCGTTCAGCACATCCTCACCCATTAAATGCTACATCACTGAATAAAGGTTTCTTCTCAGATGCATGTGTGTAGGATGATGTGTAGGACCATATCGTTTTTTTCTGTTGACCAAAAATAGTTTTCTCAATTGAGAAACATATTTAAGCATGATCATCTAAAAAATGCAAATGCCGGGAGAGTCGACATTTTGGTAGGATATGTATCACGTGAAATGGGATGCACACTCAATCATTGGCAATGAGATTAAGATAGTGATTCATCTTTAGATTGAACATACGATATGTTTTTTATCTCACCAAAGCCAAAGCTGAAACTTAGTGTAAAAAATACTATTTGGTTTTTTTATGGACCATTTTTATGCAGCTCACTTTGATTGTACCTGGTAAGCAGCACTGTCTCAGAATGACATAGTGAAATTGGGCTTAAAGTCATGTTGAAGATAACTACACATGCATAGTGATGGGCATGCATGTGTCTGTATGTCGGCTTGTACTAGTCCGGACATATTGTGGCTTTATAGTGCTGGACCAAAGAGATACCATGCCACAGTTCAATACGGATGTCCCACCGATACTGACTCTGAACTGACCAATCCTTGTTTTATCCCCTTAATGGTGAATACCAGGCAGGTAACAAGTACCATCTTTTACCATTGTTTGGCATGACATGGCTGGGGGATCGAGGATGATTATGAGTTTGCTGAGGATCATTGAACGCACCTGGTAAGCAAAGGAAAGACTCAGTACAATGTTTTAATTTTTTTTGTGATAATTGTATGAAGGGCCTGAATCAGATCCAAGTGGTAAAAACCTGTGGCTTGATTTAAACTCTGCCTTGCTGTTGTGTTGTCTATTCTGACAGGTCCAGATTTGACTATTTATAGACCAACTTAACATTCACACAATCAATGTTTCCCCTTTTCCCACAGAACGTTACTGCCAAAAGCTGGACTTGCTCAAGGAGTATTTTGTGGACATCCATGCCCTCCAGACTGCCCAACAGCTCCTTGAGAAGCATGGCCATGTCAGCATCTGTGGAGCTCCTGGAGATGGGAAGACCAGCATTGCTCTGAAGATCTGTGAGGCATATCAACAAAAGGGATATGAAACATTGTTTGTGGAAAACATTGAACGTTTTGACGTTGATACAATTTCTAAACGGCAATCACACATGCTGGTTGTTTTTGATGATATGTTTGGTTCTGTCACATTCAGTTCAAATTTGGAAAAACTACATGAATTGTTCAGTGCCTTGGTTGATGATCTTGCTAAAACTGCCGCTGATACAGAGAGGGATTCCAAGAAGAAGAAAGATAAACAATCAAAAGCTAAGGAACAATCCAATGAAGAAACCCCCATCTACAGACTGAAGCTTGTTTTTACATCCAGGACATACATCTGGAAGGAGGGGTGTTCAAGACTACATCAGTACAAAGTGGATCTACTTAAAACAGAAGCTGTGCTTGATATGACTAAAGACCATCTCACGGTTGAAGAAAAGAAACGTATGTTACGTTCCTTCAAGAGCAAACATCCTAAATGTGATATCTCTGAAAAGGATATTTGTAGCATCACAGATTCAAAAAATAATATATTTGGATTCCCTCTTATCAGCAGACTCTTTTTCACTCGTGAAGTCTTCCAGATGCACAACGTAAAATTCTTCAATAATCCTCTGACCTACCTGAGAGGTGACCTTGACGCTATTGTCCGGGAAGAAAGCAATAGATCGGCAGCCATCCTCCTCCTCATCCTCTGTGATGGAAACCTGAACCTTGTTTCTTTGCAGTCAGGAAAATCTAGAAATGTCAAGTTTGATGCTGTGAAAAACATAGTTCCTTGTTGTACAAGCATCGGCGTTGCCAAGGAGATCACAAACTTTACTGGGGTCTACTGTACAGTCGAGGATCACATCGCATCTTTCTCTCACCCCTCCATATACGATGCTGCAGCCTGTGCTGTAGGACATCTCAATATCGTGTTGCTGCTGGAACACTGCTCCCTGAAATTCCTGTATGAAAGAGTGAGGCTGGGTAAGAGTATACAGTCATCAGACATTGATGATGTCTCAAACATGATCTACATCACCCCCCAACTACACCAAACAGTAGTGGACAGACTTGTGGAAGGTATTCGACAAGGATGCTTCATTTGGACAGTGAAACATCCAGCTCTCCGTGATGAGAGGATTGCCTCCCTACTATGGACAGAGATTAATGATAACATTGTTGAAATTGTTGAACAAAAGGATAGGGACTCAGGTGAATGCTTTTTGTATTTAGCTTCCCTATCTGAGAGTTACTTTCTATTCTCAAAGTCATTAGAAGTTGTTGGAAGACAGGGTGACACATCAACTGAACTATATGACTGCGTGGTAGGCTGTGTTACTCACGGCAAACTGAAACACCTGGAACACCTCGTTACAGTCATGAGTCTACAAGCAGGATTCAATGTTGAATTTTCAATACGCGGGAAAACCCTTCTGATCATGGCTGCCAAGTCAGGACAGTCAGAGGTGTTCAACTTCCTCATCCATAAGGGTGCTGATATTTCAGTGACGGACTGGACAGGAAACACCTGTTTACATCATGCCTGTGAATCAAGAAGTATGGCGTTGACCAGAAAGGTGGTTGAAATGTGTCCTGTTTTACTAGATTCCATATCTTTTGTGGGTTTCACACCTGCAATGCTTTGTGCCAGAGCAGGTCACCTTTTGATCCTGAAGTTCCTGAAACAAAAAGGAGCCGATTTAACTCTTACCGACTGGAGCTTGTCAGATTGTTTGCACTTGGCCAGTGAAAATGGCAATCTGTCAACTGTGAGATTTTTGATTTCGCTGAAAATGTTTAATGTGAACAAGAAGGAAACATATTTAATGCAAACATCAGCTATGAAGGCAGCACAAGGTGGACACTATGATGTTTATCATCTCCTTGTGTCTGAGGGTGCAGATCTGACACTTACTGATGAATACAAGAGAGACTGTCTGATGTTGGCATGTGAGAGAGGGAACATATCTATAGTGAAACATGTTTTGTCAATGAAAACATGTGATATCAACAGGCGGGGAGGAGAGTGGAAACAAACACCAGTTATGATGGCATTGGAAGGAGAACACTATGATGTGTATCATCTCCTTGTGTCTGAGGGTGCAGATCTGACACTTACTGCTCCATACAACAGAGACTGTCTGAATTTGGCATTATATGGAGGGAACATAAATATAGTGAAACATGTCTTGTCAATGAAAACATGGGACATCAACAGGCGGGGAGGAGAGTTGAAACAAACACCAATTATGATGGCATTGGAAGAAGGACACTATGATGTTTATCATCTCCTTGTGTCTGAGGGTGCAGATCTGACACTTACTGATTACCAAAACAGAGACTGTCTGATGTTGGCATGTACGAGAGGGAACATGAATATAGTGAAACATGTTTTGTCAATGAAAACATGTGACATCAACAGGCGGCAACGAGGGTTGAAACAAACACCAATTATGATGGCATTGGAAGAAGGACACGATGATGTTTATCATCTCCTTGTGTCTGAGGGTGCAGATCTGACACTTACTGATTCCCAAAACAGAGACTGTCTGATGTTGGCATGTAAGAGAGGGAACATGAATATAGTGAAACATGTCTTGTCAATGAAAACATGGGACATCAACAGGCAGGGAGGAGAGTTGAAACAAACACCAATTATGATGGCATTGGAAGGAGGACACTATGATGTTTATCATCTCCTTGTGTCTGAGGGTGCAGATCTGACACTTACTGATTACCAAAACAGAGACTGTCTGATGTTGGCATGTAAGAGAGGGAACATGAATATAGTGAAACATGTCTTGTCAATGAAAACATGGGACATCAACAGGCAGGGAGGAAGGTTGAAACAAACAACAATTATGATGGCATTGGAAGAAGGACACTATGATGTTTATCATCTCCTTGTTTCTGAGGGTGCAGATCTGACACTTACTGATTTATACGAGAGAGACTGTCTGATGTTGGCATGTGTGGGAGGAGACATATCTATAGTGAAACATGTTTTGTCAATGAAAATATGGGACATCAACAGGCGGGGAGGAGAGTGGAAACAAACACCAATTATGATGGCACTGGAAGGAGGACACGATGATGTTTATCATCTCCTTGTGTCTGAGGGTGCAGATCTGACCCTTACTGATTACCACAACAGAGACTTTCTGATGTTGGCATGTAAGAGAGGGAACATAAATATAGTGAAACATGTCTTGTCAATGAAAACATGTGACATCAACAGGCGGGGAGGAGGGTGGAAACAAACACCAGTTATGATGGCATTGGAAGGAGGACACGATGATGTTTATCATCTCCTTGTGTCTGAGGGTGCAGATCTGACCCTTACTGATAAATACAACACAGACTGCCTGATGTTGGCATGTGATCATGGGAACATAAATATAGTGAAACATGTTTTGTCAATGAAAACATGTGACATCAACAAGCTGGGAGGAGAGTTGAAACAAACACCAATTATGAAGGCATTTGAAGGAGGACACGATGATGTTTGTCATCTCCTTGTATCTGAGGGTGCAGATCTGACCCTTACTGATTACCACAACAGAGACTTTCTGATGTTAGCATGTGCGGGAGGAGAAATAGATATAGTGAAACATGTCTTGTCAATGAAAACATGTGACATCAACAGGTGGGGAGGATATGTGAAACAAACACCAATTATGACGGCAATCGAAGGAGGACACTATGATGTTTATCATCTCCTTGTATCTGAGGGTGCAGATCTGACACTTACTGATGAATACAACAGAGACTGTCTGATGTTGGCTTGTGTGGGAGGAAACATATCTATAGTGAAACATGTCTTGTCAATGAAAACATTGGACATCAACAGGCGGGGAGGAGAGTTGAAACAAACACCAATTATGATGGCATTGGCAGGAGGACACGATGATGTTTATCATCTCCTTGTGTCTGAGGGTGCAGATCTGACACTTACTGATGACGACATCACAGACTAGTATATTGTTACCTGTATTTATGTAACTTGACACCAAACTCACGAGGGCTGCATTCAGCTGGCACCTTCCTCCACTAGTGTCTGAGCAAGGTCTGTTCATGTGAGTGGAGGAAAAGGCAGGACAACGGAACGATGTTCCTGGTTGATTCATCGTTGAGATTTCACACTGGCATCGCAACAGATTCCTTGCCACACCATGACGATCGGCCTCGAGATCACAACCAACATGCCTGCCATTTCCCTCATGGGTGGTGTGCTCTGATAATCCTATCATCGTTGGCATCGACCTTTTTATCACAACAGAACAGTCTTTGCCAGTTGCTGTTCTGCCACTAACAAATTATGTGTGTGTACCTGGGTGGTGGTGCTCACTCTGAATGAGTTATAGCCACATAAGTACCACCCACTTATAACCCCCTAGTATTCATTATATACATATATACATGTATACTTATTCATCTATTATCACCATCACTTCATTCTGTGTTCATTATATGTTGTCCTTGTCTGCAGTTGAATGTCAGCCAACTAACATCAACCCTGATACCCTTTTGCAGCCTCTGTAATTTCTCCAGCTTCACCTGGACTTCCCCCTATCTATTTTTAGATATGTCCACCACTTCATATGACTGTGAAGCATCTTGACTTCCTTTAATACCTGTCAGATGCTACCTTTCTTCTGATTGGTCATTTGGTCCAGTTCTTTAAACTTCCTTTCTCACCCGCCTCTCTGCTCAGGTGATAATCTTGGCATGATTGTTACTTTGAGTAAATTCTGATGCAAACTGTCAGTGTTACAGTGCTTTTATACCCTTTGGAGATCATTCTGCACGTGTATTGCCTTTTGATTATTTAAAGTCAATTCTTACATATTTGAGTTTTCAAAAACGGTCATGCTGCTTGAGACCCGTTAAATTCTTCAGCAACCCATGCTTGCTTTAAAAGGCAACTATGCTTGTTGTAGGAGGCGACTAACAGGATCGGGGGGTAAGGCTCACTGACTTGGTTGATGCATGTTATGGATCCCAATTGCGTAGATTGTCACGATGTAAATGACTGGATTGTCTGGTCTCCATTATTTACAGACCACCGTCATATAGCTGGAATACTGCTGAGTGCGGTGTAAAACAACAAACAAACACACTCACATGTTGCTTGAAGCATAGTATTAGTGCACTAGTATTGTAGAAGTGTATACAGCAGTAAGGTGTTGTAGTGGTGTATACAGCAGTAAGGTGTTGTAGTGGTGTATACTGCAGTATGATGTTGTAGTGTATACAGCAGCATGATGTTGTAGTGGTGTATACAGCAGTAAGGTGTTATAGTGGTGTATACTGCAGTATGATGTTGTAGTGGTGTATACAGCAGTAGTGAGTGAGTGAGTGAGTGAGTGAGTGAGGTTTTACGCCGCTTTTAGCAATATTCCAGCAATATCACGGCGGGGGACACCAGAATTGGGCTTCACACATTGTACCCATGTCGGGAATCGAACCCGGGTCTTCGGCTTGACGAGCTAACGCTTTAACCACTAGGCTACCCGACCGCCCCTTATACAGCAGTAAGGTGTTGTAGTGGTGTATACAGCAGTAAGGTGTTGTAGTGGTGTATACAGCAGTAAGGTGTTGCAGTGGTGTATACAGAAGTAAGGTGTTGTAGTGGTGTATACAGCAGTCAGGTGTTGTAGTGGTGTATACAGCAGTCAGGTGTTGTAGTGGTGTATACAGCAGTAAGGTGTTGTAGTGGTGTATACAGCACTCAGGTGTTGTAGTGGTGTATACAGCAGTATGATGATGTAGTGGTGTATACAGCAATATGATGGTGTAGTGGTGTATACAGCAGTATGATGGTGAAGTGGTGTATACAGCAGTAAGGTGTTGTAGTGGTGTATACAGCAATATTATTGTGTAGTGGTGTATACAGCAGTATGATGGTGTAGTCGTGTATACAGCAGTAAGGTGTTGTAGTGGTGTATACAGCAGTATAATGGTGTAGTGGTGTATACAGCAGTATGATGTAGTGGTGTATACAGCAGTATGATGGTGTAGTTGAGTATACAGCAGTATGATGGTGTAGTGGTGTATACAGCAGTATGATGGTGTAGTGGTGTATACAGCAGTATGATGGTGTAGTGGTGTATACAGCAGTAAGGTGTTGTAGTGGTGTATACAGCAGTATGATGGTGTAGTGGTGTATACAGCAGTAAGGTGTTGTAGTGGTGTATACAGCAGTAAGGTGTTGTAGTGGTGTATACAGCAGTAAGGTGTTGTAGTGGTGTATACATCAGTAAGGTGCTGTAGTGGTCTATACAGCAGTATGATGGTGTAGTGGTGGATACAGCAGTAAGGTGTTGTAGTGGTGTATACAGCAGTAAGGTGTTGTAGTGGTGTATACTGCAATATGATGTTGTAGTGGTGTATACAGCGGTATGATGGTGTAGTGGTGTATACAGAAGTAAGGTGTTGTATTGGTGTATACATCAGTAAGGTGTTGTAGTAGTGTATACAGGAGTATGGTGTTGTAGTGGTGTATACAGCAGTATGATGGTGTAGTGGTGTGTACAGCAGTATGATGTTGTAGTGGTGTATACATCAGTATGTTATGTAGTGGTGTATACAGCAGTTAGGTGTTGTAGTGGTGTATACAGCAGTAAGGTGTTGTAGTGGTGTATACAGCAGTAAGGTGTTGTAGTGGTGTATACAGCAGTAAGGTGTTGGAGTGATGTATACAGCAGTAAGGTGTTGTAGTGGTGTATACAGCAGTAATGTGTTGTAGTGGTGTATACAGCAGTAAGGTGTTGTTGTGGTGTATACAGCAGTAAGGTGTTGTATTGGTGTATACAGCTGTAAGGTGTTGTAGTGGTGTATACAGCAGTAATGTGTTGTAGTGGTGTGTACAGCAGTAAGGTGTTGTAGTGGTGTATACAATAGTATGAAGTTGTATTGGTGTGTACAGCAGTAATGTGTTGTAGTGGCGTATACAGCAGTATGATGTTGTAGTGGAATATACAGCAGTATGATGTTGTAGTGGTGTATACAGCAGTATGGTGTTGTAGTGGTGTGTACAACAGTCTGATGTTGTAGTGGTGTATACAGCAGTATGATGTTGTAGTGGTGTATACAGCAGTGAGGTGTTGAAGTGGTGTATACAGCAGCATGTTGTAATGGTGTATACAGCAGTAAGGTGTTGTATTGGTGTATACAGCAGTAAGGTGTTGTAGTGGTGTATACAGCAGTAAGGTGTTGTAGTGGTGTGTACAACAGTATGGTGTTGTAGTGGTGTGTACAGCAGTATGGTGTTGTAGTGGTGTATACAGCAGTAAGGTGTTGTAGTGGTGTATACAGGATCATGGTGTTGTAGTGGTGTATACAGCAGTAAGGTGTTGAAGGTGTGTGTACAGCAGTGTGGTGTTGTAGTGATGTATACAGCAGTGTGGTGTTGTAGTGGAGTATACAGCAGTATGATGTTGTAGTGGTGTATACAGCAGAAAGGTGTTGTAGTGGTGTGTACAGCAGTAAGTTGTTGTAGTGGTGTATACATCAGTAACGTGTTGTAGGTGTGTGTACAGCAGTGTGGTGTTGTAGTGGTGTATACAGCAGTATGGTGTTGTGGTGGTGGGTACAGCAGTATGAGTTTGTAGTGGTGTATAGAGCAGTATGATGTTTTAGTGGAGTATACAGCAGTATGATGTCGTAGTGGTGTATACAGCAGTATGGTGTTGTAGTGATGTGTACAACATTATGATGTTGTAGTGGTGTATACAGCAGCATGATGTTGTAGTGGAATATACAGCAGTATGGTGTTGTAGTGGTGTGTACAACATTATGATGTTGTAGTGGTGTATACAGCAGTATGACGTTGTAGTGGAATATACAGCAGTATGGTGTTGTAGTGGTGTGTACAACATTATGATGTTGTAGTGGTGTATACAGCAGTAAGGTGTTGTAGTGGTGTGTACAGCAGTATGATGTTGTAGTGATGTATACAGAAGTGTGGTGTTGTAGTGGAGTTTACAGCAGTAAGGTGTTGTAGTTGTGTATACATTGTAAGGTGTTGTAGTGGTGTATACAGCAGTAAGGTGTTGTAGTTGTGTATACAGGAGTAAGTTGTTGTAGTGGTGTATACAGCAGTAAGGTGTTGTAGTGGTGTATACAACAGTATGATGTTGTAGTGGAATATACAGCAGTATGGTGTTGTAGTGGTGTGTACAACATTATGATGTCGTAGTGGTGTATACAGCAGTATGATGTTGTAGTGGAATATACAGCAGTATGGTGTTGTAGTGGTGTGTACAACAGTATGATGTTGTAGTGGTGTATACAGCAGTATGATGTTGTAGTGGAATATACAGCAGTATGGTGTTGTAGTGGTGTGTACAACAGTATGATGTTGTAGTGGTGTATACAGCAGTAAGGTGTTGTAGTGGTGTGTACAGCAGTATGATGTTGTAGTGGTGTATACAGAAGTGTGGTGTTGTAGTGGAGTTTACAGCAGTAAGGTGTTGTAGTTGTGTATACATTGTAAGGTGTTGTAGTGATGTATACAGCAGTAATGTGTTGTAGTTGTGTATACAGGAGTAAGTTCTTGTAGTGGTGTATATAGCAGTGAGGTGTTGTAGTGGTGTATACAGCAGTATGGTGTTGTAGTGATGTATACAGCAGTATGGTGTTGTAGTGATGTATACAGCAGTATGGTGTTGTAGTGGTGTGTACAGCAGTATGATGTTGTAGTGGTGTATACAGCACTAAGGTGTTGTAGTTGTGTATACAGGAGTAAGTTGTTGTAGTGGTGTATACAGCAGTAAGGTGTTGTAGTTGTGTATACAGTAGTAAGGTGTTGTAGTGGTGTATACAGCAGTATGATGTTGTAGTGATGTATACAGCAGTATGTTGTTGTAGTGGTGTATACAGGAGTATTATGTTGTAGTGGTGTATACAGCAGTAAGGTGTTGTGGTGATGTATACAGCAGTAAGGTGTTAAATAGGGATGACACCATATATTGTACATACCATGCCACTATCTTATTTGATGTACCTGTGATTAATCAGTTGTATATATTTAGATAGGGTAGTGCATCTGTAGTATGTTTCGTGTAATGTAGACAACATGCCCCATGTTAGATGTTTTTTCTACTTTGTCTGTCATGATCTATGAAAGTGAATATATCCTCACATGGTTTAGACATACTTATAGTGGGGATTCAGGTGTATGGTTGATGTCGCCTTGTATTACTATTGGTGAAGTAGTATTGATGACCAAACATAAGTCTATTTTTACTTGATATGAATGATGTAATATTGTGTGTTTGTGTGTGGCATTTTATTATTTAACCTCACATTGCATTGATATGCATAATGTCATGTAAATAGCATTGTATAGTGTTGTAGTATTGTATATAGCATTGTGTTGTGTTGTAGTGGTGTAAATAACATTGTATAGTGTTGTTATTGTGTATATAGCATTGTGTAGTGTTGTAGTGATGTATAGAACATTGTATAGTGTTATTGTGTTGATAGCATTGTGTTGTGTTGTAGTGGTGTATATAACATTGTATAGTGTTGTTATTGTGTATATAGCGTTGTGTTGTGTTGTAGTGGTGTATATAACATCGTATAGTGTTGTAATTGTGTATATATCATTTTGTAGTGTTGTAGTATTGTATATAGCATTGTGTAGTGTTGTAATTGTGTATTTAAGAATTGACCTTCACTTTGTGTGAGTTCATTGGAGTATGAAGGTTCATACTCCAATGAACTCACACAAAGTGAAAGTCAATTCTTATAATTTTTTATCACAATTTCTTACCTCAAAGGATGTAGGTCAAGATCTAAACAAAATTGTATTGTTTACACTGACAGCCATACAACAACCAGCTATATCGCGGA